GTACAAAGCCCACATCTTTGTCCCTGTTCTCACTCCCATTCTTACGGAAATATGTTTGAATTTGTAATTGTTTTTGAACTCATAACCCCCTGAAGGCCAAGTAATATGATCTCATTTGGCTATTTTTTTGCGCGTTTTAAAATTAATTTTGAAGTTAAAATTCAAACTGGTGGATTTCATTATAGCATTTTCATACACATATGTGATTGGTCTTTTGTGATTTACATATTAATTATGTAAATGAACTTTCTCAGGATTGTGATTTTTTTTAGGCCTTTTACAATCAGCAACAATGAGCCAGTTCTAAGCAAACCAAGCTGCTATGCGTTTTTAATTGTGCGAGACCATAGATTGAGGCATAAGTAACTGAATAAAAACAAAATTAGTGAAACACTAGCATAGTAAAGTTTTAGAAAGAATTTAATCAACCCCTGAATTGAGGCCTCCTGGGCTTTGTATTGCACTCCTTATAAGTTCTCAAAATTAATGCCTTCACCTTTCTCCTCTCTGGATACTTAGCTAGTTTCCCTGGAGGAAAAAAATAGATTTGGGGGATGCCCAGGGCTCTGGGTCAAAACTCTGCCTTCACTGTGAAATTCCCAAAAATTCTCCACTCCCATCCACGGACCTCTTCCTTGTGCCGCATGAACTCCAAAAGGCAAAGCGCTGTAGTCAGAATGTTCGTTGTCCTCCTTGACACCGCTGAGGCTGTCCTGTGCAGTCCTCGCTGGGTGTCATGGGAGGGTGGAGGCTGCACTCCTTGTCATCAAAGTGCTGTGAACAGCAGGACCCGGGAGATGCTCGGCAACTCCTCACCTTGCAACGGCTTCAGTCAAAAATGACAGGAAATGCATATGAAATATCTTTATTCCTAAAGCACACCTGTTCTCAGTCCTTCTTGTCTGAAGGGTCTCTTGGTGGCTATGAATACTACATCTTTATCAGTGCGGACGGGGAACAAATTAATTCTCACCACCCAGACCCAGACACTGCTCCCAGGAGACAGACTTGAAAGTTGTTTCCCAGAAATTTCTTTTCTTATCGTTTACCTTGAGCTTGGCCATCAATCCTCCAGAGAACAGAATGATAGTACAGTTGCTCGTCTTTTAGCAAATCTCTATATTGAGTACTTGGAGGAAAAGGCCCAGCATGGGATTCTGCCAACCAGCCAGCCTCTGTCATCAAAACACCTGCAACTGTCAAAATCTAATGGTCCTAGATGCTGGCCCTGCAAGGAGCCGTCAAAGTGAAGAACGGCATTGGGAGGAAACTATGACCCCAGTTTTTTGTTTTTGTTTTTGTTTTAATTACATCGAAGGTCAAGGTTCTTTCGTGCTGGCGTGCCTGGAGAGGTGAATGAATCAAAGGGCAAACCCGGATTCTGAGCTCTCTCTAACCTGAGGCACGTTGCCCTTCCTCTTCTCCTGTTTGTAAATGGCCCGTGACAGGCGCTTCGCAGAAACTCTGGGCGGTTTTGTTTCCTGCAGTATTGAAACTTGGAGAACAGTAGGTTGTGTTAAGAGCGGGGAAATTCTTAGACTTGTTGAATTGGGGGTGTGGTGAGAAGAGGAGAAAAAAAAAGAAGTGGGGAGAATCGGATGGATGAGTTGTGTCTAACCAAAGATTGGAGACCAGGAAATTGAAAAGCGTACTTGTGACTAAGGCTTTCACAAATCCTCATAGCCAGGATTTCATGCACAAGCAGGATTTCCAAAAGATTTGTTGTAGCTTCATTTTCACAGAAAAGCCAGCAGGATAAAGAGGTGGAGAGACCAGACAAGCCATTTATTTTTTAATGACAAACAACTTGTGTGTGGTTTCCAAAGAGCTTGGACGGATGTAGCTTTCTGGTGTCTTTGGCTCTCTTTGCTCTCTCATCTCTGCGACAGTCAGCTTCCATCGACCCAACCAGAGAAAAGTGGCGACAGCAGTTTCAAACGGCACATTTTGTTATCTCAGGATTCTGCCGTCAAGTCCTTTTATATAAAACTGTTGCTCAAGCGCGAATCAAATCAGACACTTGAAGATTCATAGTCAGTGCTTTGGTGTCCTGTGTCTGCCTCTGTTTCTCGAACATTGTGCTCTTAACCACAGGCTGAGGCACTGGAAAATGGGAGAATAACAATCCTGGTGAGGTTCTTTATTTCTCTTCTAACATATAACAGGAACCAAACTACTAGATTATTCTGTGTGATGAGTAGACAACTGTACCGCATATGGGGGTTAACGTATCTTGTAGTTCTTCCTATTTTTTTTCAAATAGACTATCATAGCAGAAAATTAATGGCAGCAGGGACTTGAGGCATCTGGTCTCTCTGTGTTCACAGTCAGGAAGCGGGGACTATCTAGTTCTTCCTCAAGCAAGACTGATTTTATGGAAAGAATCAAAACCAATGTAGGTGGCTCCAAGAAGCTGTTCCCTCCTCCTTGATAGAAGGTCTGTGCTCTCCAGAACAGTCCCAGCACCACCCAGCTATTTGCTGATGCAGGCCACACTTAAATTGTCTTCAGAGACATCTGTTTCTCCTGCCATGGGGAAGAGCGAGGCTGGCAGCGAAGGGAGCAGGCCTTGGGCGAAAGCCACCAGGGGCAGCATCAGCCAGCGCGTTGGAGCATCCTCCACAGCTGCAAGGAGCCAGGGAAGGCAGGTGTGGAAGCTTCCCTTGGAGGAAAGCAGAGGGAGAGTGCCGCCACACAATGGTTTCTGGAGCTGGTGGGTGGCTTTTACAAGTTCTATTCCTAGACTGCTCCTAAACACATGAAGTGGGATCACATGTGCCCCACAGTCTACCAAACCACAGGGCCATCTGGAATCTCATGGGAGTGGCGTGTCTCAGCAGCAGCTGGGCTGCTTTTAGAGCACTCAAATTAAGTTCAGTGGGATCCCATGAAGTCCTTTGTAATTAAACATCTTTGATGCCTAGCACAGATTAAGAATTGAGAACCATGCTCTCTTTGCAGCTTTCAGTTCTCCAGAAAGGATTTCTTCGTCTTTCCATGAATGTAGGTGTCATCTTTCCACTGGATTATTGTCAAAGGCACAGGAAGGATGTTAGAACGTGCGATTCTCCTCCACCTAAGGACACCTGAAAACAAACCTTCAGCTCTTTTGCCTGCCCTTCCAGTCCTTTTAGTGCTTTGAGTTTCTTGAACCTTCATTTAGCCTGGGGACAAATAAGCAAACAAAAGTCATTTGGCAAATATTTTCTTTAACGTATGTAGTGTGTTTGCATGGTGAATGTATGTTTGTGTGCAACATGTATGTGTGTATGTGTAGAATAGGGGTTGATATCTAGTGTCTTCTTCCTCCATTGCTCTCCGTCTTTAACGTGGAGGCCAGCTCTTCCACGCAGCCCGGAGCTCACTGCTTCTCCTGGTACTTTGCTATCCTGCCTTGGGGACCCCTGTCACTGCTTTCTGAGTGCTGAGATTACAGGTGTGCCCAGCTGTAGGCAGAAGTTTCTGTCCTGCAAGCTGCTCCCAAGTAAACGGAGTCTTAATATTATTACAAATGCTCAGCTAATAGCTCAGGCTTGTTACTAGCTAACTCCTACATTTAAATTAACCCATATTTCTTACCTAGGCTCTGCCGCCTGGCTCAGTACCTTTTCTCAGTACAGCATGCCCATCTTGCTTCTCTCTGCTCACAACTCCCTGGCTCTGCCTTTCTTCTTCCCAGCATTTTCAGTTTGGCTCTTCTACCTTACCTTCTCCTGTCCAGCTATTGGCCAGTCAGCCTTCCAGTGACATATATTCACACATTGTAAAGGAATGTGGGCTCTGAACTCTAAAGTTCATGATTGGTGCAGCAAAGTGTTTATCCATGAGCTACCTACTCCCCCCCACACACACTTTTTTCAAAGTTTAAGATGGAGTGCACAACTTTACCTTCTCATGAAACTTGACCTGATTGTTCAGGCCGTGGTTCTTCTGAAGTTACTGCGGTCAACCATGGGCGGCTGTGTTTGCCTGACGGAACAAAATAAAGCAGGTGAACAGATAATCCAAACAAGAAAGAAAGCCTCTGAGTAAAAGGGTGGGGTTCTAGCTGCTCAGTAACTTCTATTTTTAAAAAACTGAAACTTCATCTGGAAAGACAGCTCAGCACATAGGAGGTGCACAGGTATAGTTGCTGGCAAAAACACCCACACACCCACGAAAATACATCACTATAGCTAAGGAGAACTTTGAACCCTTGGTCTTTCCAACTTCCAGGATTGCGGGAATGAGTCGGCATGCCCGGCTTTGTTTTGTTTTTGGAGCCAGGTTCTTTCTCTGTAGCCCAGGATGTCCTCAAATCTTCAGTCATCCTGCCTCAGCTTCCCCCATCATGAGACACCACTCCTTTGCATCCAGTTTGAAGTGAAAACCTCAGTTTGCCATAGTATAAGTATTGAGTTGGTAGCAGTGAAGGGGGCAAGGCAGACTAACTGGGACCTATAGAAACAGCTTCAAGTGGTTTTTGTTCTTAATTTTAGCTTTTTTCTAATGAAATTTTCCCTCCAAATTTGTCTACAAATGGCTGTGAACTCATCTACACTTTTTTTTTCTTAATGTTTCTTCTGGTTCTGTTACAACACGGCTGTTGAAAATCATACAACAGCTTCAATCATAGTTGGCAAAGTGGTCTTTTAATACGTGTAGGATGGGTGGGTTTGCGCAGGTGAGTGCAGTACCCGTGGAGGCCAGAAGAGGGCGAGGGATTCCCCTGGGCCTGGTTACAGGCCTTTGGGAGTCTTGGTCTGGGAACCTAACCTCGCCCAGAGCAGTGCTGGGCCGAGCCATCCCCGCAGCCCCTTCCATTGGGTTGAAATGAGCCGTTGTCATTATCATTGCTCGCTCTGTCCAGAGCGGATCAACCAACCCCTTTCGCTATAAGGACTCGTACCATATTCAGGGTCCACCTCGCTCCTGTGAGAAAATGGGTATAGGGAGTGTGTCTCTCCACCTGGGATGCGCCCCCCTCTGAAAATGTCGCTTTTCTTTCTGTGTGTCCCCAGGGATCCCCTGAAGCTTCAGCAGCTGCAGAACCAAGTGCGCTTGGAGCAGGAAGCGGGCGGCTGGCCCCCAGCGCCGCCGGGTCTCCCTTGCAACAGCAGCAGCAGCGGCAGCAGCGCGCCCCCGT